GGGATCTTGATCTACTGAAATTTGTTGATTGTATTTGTATGTCTTTAAATTGTTCTAGTACAATTTATTCAATAGGTTTTGCTGAATTTTCATCTGAAAGTGAAGGCATTGACGCAAGTTCCTTTTTTTCCGTTTTTCTTTCTTTCTTTCTTTCTATTTCTTTTTGAGTTTAATTGAATTCGAGCCTTTAATTTTTGGATCATGCCAAGTGGCCATTGTGTAATTGATGTGCTTTTTAGCTTCTTAATTCGTCTATATTTTCTGGGGATTGGGAGTCGGGTGTGGAGCTAAATGATTTATAAGTTACATTGACAGTTGCACTATCGTGTATGTTTCTTGGTTTGGTTTCATCCTGTATGGTTTTAGTTTCTTTTTGTCAACACCTCCCCGTGTCATTGGGTTTCTGTGCAATTTTATTTGCTTTATGTGGGTTTAAGTCCTTCTGTTCCTTATCATTAGGTTTCTTTCTATTTATTTTTATACTTCCATACATGAATGCTCTCTCTCCGTTTGACATTCTATTGTGGTTGGGAATGCAGGAGTAAATGTTTTTGAGGGATTATCTAGTATAACGATTCAAAGTTTTGATACCTTTGGCAGTCTACATTGGTCGAATGCTTTTATCCCACTTAAACATTTAATTTTCACGCGTACAACGATAAGCAATTGTGATTAAGAGTCTTTTGAGACAATGGATCACTTTAGGCCACCTCAAATTGACAGTATTGGAGTTACTATAAGAAAAAAGAGGAGCCAGACTTTACGCCGTCCTAGACCCGAGCCTCAGTCACTCCCTGATCAATCCTCCATGTCACCAACACAGCTTTCAGATGACTCGAGTAAGATTTCTAGCGATGAGACCGGTGATGCAAATTCTAGAGGGAAAATGTTCAATCTCAATCAGTGTGTATCGAGACCATTTCCTACTAGTGGATCTGATGGTGGATTGAATTCATTAGATAGTAATGGTGTGTCTGGGGATGGAATGGAAAATGAGAACAAACTGAAGAAAGTTAAGCTGAAGGTTGGTGGTGTGACACGCACAATACAAACCAATTCCAATTCTAATGGTGCATTAGGCACAGGCAGTGCATCTTCGGCAAAGGCCAATCAATCATCAGATTCTCGACAGCGGCAGAAACTCATCCTCCAGGTTTTGGTCCTTTGCTTCTCAGATTATGAATTAGGGAATTCTCTTTACATGCACAATTTGTTGGAGCTAATTCAACTTAATTTGGTTATTACTTCACCTAATTATGGTCCATGGATTCCCTCAGAATTCATACTTATGTGAATTAATGCAGAAGTCTTATTTTATCTTTGTAACGTTCTGGCGCAATGGGTGTTTGGTTGGTCACTCAAAAATGTAAATTATGAAAATTTTTAAGATGTAAAATCCTTATGTTGGGAATAAAAATATATCATAGATGTTCGTGGTGAGATGTGTATATCAACTGAGCTATCATATTGAAAAACAAATCTAATGTATTCATGCCTGTTGAGTATTGACTGTCTTTTAACTGACTTTGCTGTATATTGACTGGGAAAACTTATATTTTTTGACATCTTACTATCCCAGGAACATTCCAATGAACATCATTCTCCAGCTCAAGATAAGAAAAAAGGGATCCCCTGGAAGGGTTTCTCCAAAGGTGATTTTGGTATTAGGAAGGAGGATAAAGGGGGGATGCTTGCAAAGAATGCCTTTGAAAAGCAAGGAGAGAAGTCAGATCCCGTTCGTAAGAGCAGAAGGATGCCTAAAAAACGTGTTTTAGATGAGGAATTTGATGAAGATGATCAAGATGATGAGATCAGATACCTAGAAAAGCTTAAAACTGCAAAGATAGCAGGACATAAAGACACCAACACAGAATCAACCAGAAAACAGCGGAAAGATGGGAAGTTGGAAAACATTGAAGGCACGGGGAAGTCTGGTAGGGATTTTAAAGAGTCCAAACCCGATGACACGGATTATGAGGAGGAAGAACTTTTGTCTGATGGTGAGCCTGAAGGAAAGACGAAGAAAAAACAAAAGAAGGATCTCTCAGATCTACCACCAGAAAACAAGAGGGAATTGACTCTCACGACGCGCCAGCGGGCTCTTTTAAGCAAGGATGCCTCTTCTGAATCTGGTGCAAGTCAAATTGAATTCCCAAATGGATTACCGCCTGCTCCACCTCGAAGTAAGTATCTTTATTTTTCTTTTGATTCGGGCCCTTTTGATAATTTCCTAGCATTCTACTCGTCAATTTGTTTAACCTGTACCTCCCAACTTGTATGCTCCAGAGCAAAAGGAGGAGTTGTCAGAAATGGAACAACAGCTGAAGAAAGCTGAGATTGCTCTAAGGCGTAAAATGCAAAATGAGAAAGCAGCACGGGAGTCAGAGGTTTGCTTTTTCTCTCTCCTCCACTGTATTGTGATCTTGTAGGAATTTTAGAACTTCAATGCTAAAATAAGCGTGGAACACCAAATTTGTAGGCTGAGGCAATTAGAAAAATACTTGGCCAAGATTCCAGTAGGAAGAAGCGAGAAGATAAAGTGAAGAAGCGCCAGGAAGAATTGGCACTGGTACTGTGTTCTTCTGGAGCCTGCTATTTGAGCAATGCTATGAAGCTAACTTCTAATAATTCTTCTATCTCTTTTGGAACAAAAAAATACAGGAGAAGGCTGCCAATGCTCAAATGCTAGCATCAAGCACCATTAGATGGGTCATGGGCCCAACTGGGACCACTGTCATTTTTCCGCAAGATATGGGTTTCCCCAAAATTTTTGAATCCAAGCTTTGCAGGTAAAAATTGTTTTCTTCTCGTTCTTTAAACAATGTTTCTAGGGAGGATTATAAAATGCTACCTATTCCTTTTTCATTTTCCTCTCGCACTTGATAGAACTTGAATGTTAAATTAGTTGGAATGACACTAATCTCATTTCGGCCCTTGGACTTCATTTTGCAATTTCAGTTTCCCCCCCTTCATCTTCATGTGATTTTTCAGTATGAATGAGGCTAATCTTGTCTGGGTGTCATTTTGATATTTTAGTGAATGTGACACTATCTTGGCTTGTTTCTGGATTTTGCTTTGAATTTTCAGTTATCCTCCACCACGCGAAAAATGTGCTGGCCCTTCTTGTACCAATCCATACAAATACCGGGATTCCAAGTCAAAGCTTCCTCTCTGCAGCCTCCAATGCTACAAGGCAATTCATGAAAAGACGCATGTCGAAAAGGCCTGCTAAGGTTGTGGTTTGTGTTGCTATTGCTTTCGTATGTGAAGGAAGATATTCTTGCTCGTGTCAATATATCGAGGCCTTAAGAGACACTGTTTCCAAGCTATATTATTTCTCGTAAGCTAGAAAGAATATGGGAACTCAGATGGTCCTGGAAACCTAAATTACCATGATTTTTTGTTTCTGTGTTCACTATATTTTGAGTTCTATGTTTGGATGGTATTATCACTTCCCCTTAGTAAATATAGGGTCTATTTGGTAGTGATTATAAGAATTGATTTTTTGACTGTTACAGAGAAAAATGAGTTCCACTTGTGAGTGAAGAAGTAAAAAATGACGGTTATAATAGTGAAATAACGTCAAAAATTGATTTTTTTGAATGAAAAATTGCTACCAAAGAGGGGCATAATCTTTTTGGCAGAGTGATCTTTTCTTGCAGATTTTTTTTGGTGGTTTCTTAATTGTCAATATCAATTAGAATAAAATACTGACTTTTAGTTCTACGAGATCTTTCACAACTTCCCTGCTGCCATGGATCCCATTGCCAACGATATAGATCACTGTCGTTGCCAAGTGCATCTCTCTTTTTCTTCTTCACCATCACAAGTGTCGCTAGATAGGAGGCCTTAGGGAAGACAATCCTGGTGTTTCAACAAAGTGAGGCAAAGGAGTATATAGAAGAAAAAGCGTAAGGAAAACCAACCAATCTATACATACTGTAAAAATGTTATGAGTTTTAGAAATTTTAATTTATTTAAATGCATGATGTCCATATGGATTCTACTGTTTATATACATTCTTGTGAAAATCTTGTTATAAAAATACATAATCTGCAAAAAGAAAATTACCTTCCTCAAATTGGCACGGGCAGTCGCTGGTGCTGGATCCACCAGTGCCTTCACCAACGCAACTACCAAATTTTTTTTTTCAACGATCTCTCTTGCTGTATCCACTCAGCTTCCAACAACTTTTCCTTTCTGCTTACCCTCATACCATTCTGCCACCAGTCGTATCTGGATCTTCTCTACCTCTATCCAGATTCGAACTTGAACTTTCCAGAAGTAAACTTAGCCGCTAATTTGATCATCTTCACCAATGACCAGCTTTATTAGTTTAGCCTTGATTGTGTTGATGAAAATGGATTAGAACATTGCATGGCAAATATCGTGTAAGTTGTGCGGTGATTTGTGTATGAACTTTGTTTTCTTGAAGACAAAGGAAGAGTGAAAATTGGTGACAAAATATCCTTGATGGTGGAGGATGGCGGTGAGATGGTAGTGATGAAATGGGCTAACGGTGATGGAGTGGTTGACTGGTGGTGATGGTGGATTTTTGTATATTTTGGTTGGTGAGATGGGGTTGCGATGATGCTGGTTATTGTGACATTTTTTATTTTTTTTTTTAGTGGTTGGGAGATGGTGTGAAGATATCGTTTATGTTGGTGGTAATGAGATGGTGGTGGTGGTGGTGCAAATCTGGCAAGTTTGATGGTGGTATAGATCTGACAATATTAAAAGGGATCATTCATCATACAAATATATTTGACAAGGCTATACGGTTGAAACCTCTTTACTTAATGTCCTTATTGTCGAAAGCACCCCTACCTTTTAAAAATAGCACAAAACGTGCTTGCTTCAAATTTTTCTTGCAGAATACACCGTCTCATGTTCCATTGGTCCTGCAGTTTTTTTTTTTTTTTTTTTGGTTTGGGGGG